ACTTATAGTCTCACCTTGACTGTTTCAGTTGGACTGGGCTGACTTACGTAAACTCACCAGGACAGACTCACCTGGACCTGCAGCAGGTTTAAAGCATCAGTCTGTCGTGTGCAGCTCTGCTTTGTTTTTCTTAAATTAGTATTTTTGTACGAGTTAACAGTAAACGTCAGTCATCTGAAGTAAAGCTAATATCAATAAAGTTTGAGTATGAACTTCCGTCTCTTGTGATTTTATACACGACAACTAAAAAGTCAACTTAAATTGTTTGAATTTCTGCTGAAATTGAAACTCAGGAAAGTAACTTTTCTGATTTCCTGGAGGACACCTGAACGCACCTTGAACCCTGGAAGAGTCTGCAGGTGGCGACTCACCTGTTCAGGTAGAACTCAAACACCTGCTTTAATCAGAAGTTAATTTCTTCTGAATGTTTCTGATTTTTTCAGTTTTTCTGGCAGAAAAATGATCGAATCTCCAACCGGAAACTGGCTTCACGTTTTATGTTTTAAAAACTTTTCAAAATAAATGTTGTTTCGTGAAGCTGTTCAAACCAGACGAGTGTATTTCAGAGAATCAACTTTGAAAGTCGTGTTTAACCGTTTGAACGTCTGCTGAAGCTGAAACTTCCACTCAGTCGTGTAACTTATATTATTTATACAGAGGCACCTGAACGCATCGTCCTGACAGCCTGAAGAATAAAAGCTGAAACGGTAAAATTAATCTTTTTAGTCAGAACTTCGAGTTTCCAAATGAAATCTGGATGAAATGCAGCTTCAGTTCTGAGTTTAAATAAATACGAAAACAAGAAATATGTCAAAGAGCAAAAACTCTGTACTGTTAGAAGAGATAAGCATCAATCAGAGGTTTTAAATGATTTTACAGTCAATAAATAAAATCTTTTGAATCTTTAGAGCCATTAAACTTAACATGTTCTCTAAGTGCTTTGATTGAACTTTATATAATCAAACTTTATTTACAGCTGTGTTCTTGGACTTCTCCTTTAAATTGCACCGTAAACTGTGAAGTTTTATTCATTTTGACTGAGTCCAGCATGTTTGTCCTTCCCGACTCCCATCCGTACTTTTATGATGTCATCACAAATCTAGTGGTCAAAATAAAATCCCAAAATGTTTCACTGAACAATAAAAAAACTGCAGTTCTCGTTTCCGCCGCTTAGAGGCGCTTCCGCTTCACCGCGACGCTACAGCGGCGACGCGTCAAACTGCGTCAGATGTGACGACATCGGATGTGTAGCTGCTGTGCCGTCAAAGTAAAAGCGTGGCATGGAAATTACAGACGAGATGAAGTTTACAGATTCCTACTTCACTCATATCACTCAATAAACAACAACAAAAGCTCACTGCAGGAAAAGTCAAGTTTTATTTACAAACCTCCTTAAAAAGGCCGGTTTTATTGTGGATGGTAAAAGTACAAATGCGAGTAAAGATTAGATGCACAGCAGTGCTCATAAATTATAGAACTACAGATAAATACGGAGCTGTTTAAACTTTGTGAAACACACAATCTTATGCAATCTATTTCAATTATTATTGGCTCATGAAATCCTGAAAACAAAACTCGAAAGCAACACGGTATTGTAATTTTAACAACAATTTCCATTTCATTACATATTTAGAGAGCAAACATGTTTGGGTAAAACGAATCCAAAAATCACAAAACAAAAAGAGCAAAACTAAATTTAAATTAAACTGTGCAAAGATTTTACGCTGAAACATAAACAATATGAAGCGTTGTTTCACAAAAGGGTGGAAATATTCTAACATCAAGAGTCATAAACTAAAAAGACCAGGAGCAATAAAAATTAAAATATAATCTTTGATACAAACATTTTAACTTCAGTACTGTAACTACAGCTGTCATGTACATGGAAATAATAAAGTAAAACTCATGAGGAACTTGTCCATTCTTTAAACCTTCCATCGCTGAATAAACAGAACAGCGTCACTCTGAAAGCTGGCCACTTATCTACACTATACAACCACGTTTTGAGTCTTTTTGTGTTGGCAGTCATTTACCAGCTAAATAGTACATTAGATGGAAGTTACACAAGGCTATTTGTTTGACTTTTTTAGGTTTTGTGAAATTTGACGCAAAAAAGGCAGAAACATGATAATGTATAAAACTAGTAGAACCAAAGAGGCAAAGAAGAATAAATAATGATAAATATTAAGCTAAAGTCTTATTAATGTTCAGATGAAGTGAAAACAGTTGTATTAATCTGTTACACTTTAAACTTCTTGGCTAAAATGTCACTGATTGATTTGGAATACATGTTGTACATTTCCTCGTCTTATTTTGAAAATCCCGTGCGGAAGCGCTCTTGCCGCTGCAGCGGCGTTTTGACGCTCTCGGAGTCGCTCGGCTCAGTTCGGTCCTGCTCGTGTCGGAGGCGCAGCGTCTCCCGGTTCTTCGCTGCTCTGGAGGAATACGATGCGGAGCAGCAGCGACCCGGACCGAACCAGAACCAGACTCGGAACCAGGCCCGCGGAACCCTCCGGCCCGGCGCTGCTCGGCCCGCAGACAGCATGACAGCAGCGGCGGCGGAGCAGCGAGCCACCGAGACGAGCTGCAGCCGCTGAGAGACGCAGCTAACCGGCTGCTAACGGCGCGATGACCGCGGACGGAGGCGGAACGATCCGCAGCCGCATCAAGAACCTGCTGCGGTCCCCGTCCATCAAGCTGCGGCGGAGCGGCGCGGCGCGGAACACCCGCGACCTGAGCGGCAAGGTGGGCGCGCGCACGCACACACGCACACGCACAGGTTATCAGCGCGACCTGAGAGTCTGCTGTGTTTCTACTTAAATTTATTTTATGCATTTATTTATTTTTCATTTATTAGCTTAAGTATTTTTGATATAGCAGTTTATTTTATTTTATGTAGCATTCATTATAATATTTAATAATATTCTAGTTTATTTTTGCATCATTTTCCATATTTACTGATTTTGCTGTTTTGTATGTCCGTTTCTTTATTTTATTTTATATATTCATTTGTTGGATTATTTTAATATCACATCCATCCATTATCTATACACCGCTTAATCCTCACTAGGGTCGCGGGGGGAGGGGGGGGGTAATTATTATTTTAATATATTAGTTTTATTTATTATTGTTTTAGATGTTGGTTAATTCATTTTAATTTAATTTATAAGCCTATTGTCTTAGTTAATTTGATTATTTCTAAATATATGTAGCATTTATTTTTATATCAGGTTCTGTTATATGTCATTTATTTTATTATTTAATTTTTTAAAAATTAATTACTTCATTATTACTTTATATATCAGTTTATTTCATGGTTATTTTATTTTATATATTAAAAAATTATTATTAAATTATTTTCTATGCTAGTTTATTTTATTATTATATGTCTCAGTTTATTTGATCTTGTATTATTTTCTGTATTAGTTTACTCAATTGTTTTTCTGTTTTAGTTAATTTTATTGTCATTTTCTTATTACTTTATACGTTAGGTTCTTTTTTTATTTATATATATTTTTACATACATATCAGCGTATTCTATTATTCTTTTAAATATTGGTTTGTTGCATTATTATTATTTTTCAGAGGAGTTTTATTTGATTATCGCAGCAGCTTTCAGGACAAACACACGTGTGCAGAGATGAGAGTGTAACTGTGAGGATCAGACTAAAAACCAGAAACTGTGTTTTCTGTGGACGTTTCCTTACTTTGTTCTCCGTTTCCACAAACATCTAACAGTCGCCCTGAACTAAAATATCCTCCAAAACCGTCCTCGTGTTCTGGAGACGTTCTCTTTGTTCTCACTGGACGGAAAAGTCTTCAAGTCACCTCCGTTTCACTAAACACCTTAAATTAAAGCTCCTGTTTTCTAAAATTGTCCTAAAGTGTCCCATGAAGACTCTGTTGACTGCAGACATCTTCTGAATATATTTGGACAAAGCAAAACGTTTTGAGGCTTTAATCAACATTTTTTTCTTGTCATTTTCTGACATTTTCTAAACCACGCAAACGGTCAGAAGTGAAACTGAGCAGCAGCCAGGACTGAGGTGATCCGTCCGTCTGTCCGGTTAGTCCGGTCCGTTTGTCCCTGCAGGGCTTCCGTCCATCTGTCAGCAGCTCCCACAATGCTTTGTGTTCCTGCTGAGACTCTCGCCGGACTTGTTTTACTGATGTTGTGAGGACAGAGACCACCGATCCGCCGCCTCCGGACAAACACCGACTGTTTCCTCCTCAGCTGATCACACATCTGATAGTTTCTCTCATTATTTGGATCCTTTTACTTGCTGCCAACAGTTTGGAAAAAACAAAAAACAACAACTTACAAATGAGAAGCTGCAGGAATAAAAGCAAACTGCTGGAGGGGTTGAGTTGCTCTACTTAGATCTGTTAAATACCCTAAAGGTGTTTGATTGGATTCAAGTCAGACCACATTCTGTCATGGTTGTAGTGTGGTTCTGGTATAGAAGCTCTTGATGATGTTGTTCTCTGGATGTTCTCCTGCTGGAATGTTCCTCTTCTTCATCTGGTCAGCCAGTATTCTGGTTCATCCTCAGACATTCATCTATAAACGTCATCAACACCTTCTGCCCTCATGCAGCTCCATATCATGATGCTGCCACCTCCGTGCTTCACTGTCAGGACCATGCATCCACTGTGGTGGTCCTGGTCAGGTTCACACCAAACATCTGGACTCCATCTGAGCCCAACACATTGATCTTCATCTGACCAGAGAATGTTCTCCAGCATCCATCAGGCTTCTGTTCATGTTCTTTAGCAAACTTTTATCTGAATGTTCTGTGCTGAAGGGTTTAGTTCTGGTCCTCCGTCCATAGAGGTTGATGCTCTGAAGTGTCTGAGCTTCACACTAACTCTGGTCTCCACTGATAAGCCCTGTGCCAAGTCTGAAGCAGCTGCCTTTGTCTGGTGTTCACAGCTCCATAGTGACAGTAGTTGACTGTCCGTGGAGTCATTGTAGGAGGACGACCACTGCAGCCCTGATCAGTGCTACTATGGCTCCTTCTGGACCTCCTGGTTACTGCTCACACTGGGCTGCACTGGGTTTTAGTTCCTGGATCCTTTTCCATCTTTGTCCTCTTTTCCTCCTCTGTTCAGGTCTTCTCCATGTGGAGCCATGATGCAGACATAGATAGACACAGTCCATAGGTCCAGAACTGAGAAGGTTCTGCTGTTCTCAGCTCATTGTAGAACCATGTTCATGCTGTTGGACTGACTGGAACCCACAGCTGGACTCAATTTAGTTGCTTTGAGTTTCTACTTTTGGTTGTTTATCAGAGGAAATACTCTGCTGTTTAACTCAAAAGTAATCTGATTACTATGAGGCGATAGACTGCAGAAACATTTGACATTTAGATGATGTTGCTCAGAGCTGTTGTTTGCTATACGTGTCTTATGGACTCGGTGACCTCAGATGAAGCGTCTGGACTGAAACTGAAAAGGTAGAACTCAGATCTTGACTCGGTTTGTTCTGCAGCTTGGTTGTTTCTTCACACGTTCAGCTGTCGGTGGTAGAAGCTGTCAGAGAGTCACCGCCGAGTTTTAAACGAGCAGCAGATTTTGATCAGACTGCAGGAAGCATGTTTCCAGCAAATTTCCTGAGCAGAAAGATTCCCGAAGGTTTGTGAGTCAGCAGTCGGTGTTTCCTGAGCGGACCGGCTCTGACATCTGCTCCCTCCGAGGAAAAACGGCTGAAAACATAAATAGAGTTTGGTGCAGAGGGAGGGAGAGTCATGTGAGAGCAGGACAGACTCAGTGCTGTTAGCTTAGCATGTAGCCGCACACCAGAGTTCAGTGTAGCTTCCAGCTGGACGTCTGATGGACTGAATCCAGAGTCCAGACGCTGCAGGACACTTTTCAGCAGCATGGAGTGTGAAGAAGTAAGTGTGTGTCTGTGTGTGTGTGTGTGTGTGTGTGTATGTGTGTGTGTGTGTGTGTGTGTGTGTGTTTGCATGACAACAGAGGGTCAGTTTGTGTGATTTATGAGCTTCTGCAGTGACTCAGATCAGGGAGGAGATTCTTTGAAACACTCACAGTCTGACTGATTCTCTGTGTGTCAAAACTTGTCCTTGTTCTTCGAGTCAGAACTCGGTCAGATGTGAACTTAAACCCACAAGTTCAGATTCAGTTTGACTTTTACTTCAAGACGATATCACTGTCTCTCTTGTCTAAAACAAAAAACCTCCAGAAATGCACTTAAAAGTATAGAGAAGACAGTTCAGGGCTCCACTGAGAATCTATTTTTAATTTTCCTTCAGTTTGTTTTAAAGACACACTCACTCTGGGACTCATAACTCAGCCAAATCTAAACTCACGGACATTAAATACATGTTTTTAGATTCAGCGTGACTTAAATCTCACAGTTATATCATTATCTCTGGTGTCCATCACAATGAAACTCCAGAAATCCACTTAGAAACCCGAGATGATAACAGTTCAAAACTCCATTGAGAATCTGTCTAATTTTAGGTTTCCTTCCTTAAAGACACACTCACTGTGGGAGTCATAACTCTGTCAAATCTAAACCTACAGGCATTAAATGCAGATTTTCAGATTCAGCGTGGCTTAAACATCCCGAGGATATAAATACCTCTAATGTCCAGCACAGTAAACCTTAAGAAATCTCCTTAGAATAGGGAGAAGAGCGTTCAGAACTCTATTGAAAATCTGTCTGTTTTTAGGTTTTCTTCAGTGTCATAGTGATCAATTGATATTTGTCTCTACATCCATGATGACCTGCAAACTGGAGATGCTTACAAAGAATTCTGCTCTTTTAAAGGGACAGTTTGACTGGATTTTATTAGACATTGGCTTAAAAAAAGCAAAAACGAAATCACCCCAAAGCATCATGGGAACAGTAGTTTCAAGACGTAAAGCACTAATACCTCTACGGTAGGACAGAATTATCTACTAGGAATTTTTTCATTTAACATTTCAGTATATTTTGTTGATTTTATTGTTTTTTCAGTACAAAATCTAACATCGCTCTGTTTGATATTGTGCTGAAGTAGACGCACTTTCTGCGTTGCCTAGAAACTGCTGTTGTGGTGATTCACTGAGTGATTTTGGTCTAAAGGTGGTGATGATGTTGCTCAACAGAGAAATAAAAGGTTCAGAGTGCATCAGAATAAACAGAGAAAAATCCACCTAGACGGCAGATAAGACGTCAGTTCAGAACTCCATTGAGATTCTGTCTGTTTTTAGTTTCCTTCAGCATCACAGTGATCTTGTTTCTTCTGCAGCTGGACTCACGTGCACGCTCCTCTGTGGACACACTGACAACATCCACGTGCACGCTCTCAATCAAACACATCTATATGTATATATTTACATAACGACCTCTGACCTTTGTCCTCCAGGTGACGTTGGAGAAGGTTCTGGGAATCACGGCTCCGGGGAACCGAGCTCTGGCCTGCGACCCCCGAACTGGACTGTTGGCTTATCCTGCCGGGTGAGAAACACAAAGAACACGAGACAGTGTCAGCAAAAGTCAGAAAGGAGTTAAACTGTTTGCACTTGAACTAAATTGCAAAAACACTGCATGTGGAAGAACTCGACTTTCAGTGGAGACGCTGTGCACCGAAATGAGCCGGACCAAAATGAAAGTAGTTAAAGTGTGGGTTGATGTGTCAGTTTAAGCGCATCAAAGAGGAAAACGTTTAACTGAACTGTTTGCAGAAAGTACATTTAAAAAGCCAGCGAAAGCAGTTGAAGTGTGAAATGTGGATGTGAGTGTGAAGTGACTTGATGCATATTTAAAGGAGTTGAGGTGTCGTGTCAATTGAAATTAAAGAGCTGAAATGAGATGATGGGAACTGCAAGGACTTCAAAAATTTGGTGGTGAAAGAACTTCCGATGAACTGCAGTGAAAAGAGTTAAAGTGTCAGTTGAAATTTGAGCTTTAAAAAAACTGTGTGAAAGGCCTGAAGGAGCAAAAACTTGTCTGAGCTGTTTGCACAATACAGTATGTATGCTGAAGAAGTCAGTGAAAGCAGTCAAAGCGGGAACTTTGAGCACTGAAACGACTTGATGCACATTGAAAGGATTTGAAGTGTCGCGTCAGCTGAGGTTTAAGAGTTAAAATGAGATGAAGTGAACTGAAAGGACTTTTGATAGAAAAAAAGACCTTGACCTTCACATCAGATGTTTACACTGAAAGGAGTTAAAGTGTCATTTGAAATTTGAGCTTTTCAAGAAACGTGTGAAAGCAACTAAAATTTCAGTTTAAGCATGAAAAAGAGCAAAAGCAATGGCTGAACTGTTTGCACAATAATGTGTATTTAAGAAGTCAGTCGAAGCGTGATATGTGAGCACTGAAATGACCTGACGCACATTAAGAGGAGTTAGTGTTCTGTCAGTCAGAGTTCTAGATCTGAAATGAGATGAAGTGAACTAAAAATGACTTCAGATACAAAAAAATCTGGCAGTGACACGACTTTTAGATGAGACGTTTGCTCTGAAAGAAGTTAAAGTGTCTGTTGAAGCTAAAAACTGAGAAACTTGAAGTCGTATAACTGAGGTTTGACAGGAGGTGAAGCGTCGTCTGACTTATTGTCATGCTTGACTGTCAGAATCAAAGCAGCGTTAGACGAAGAGTAAAAGCAGCGGAGTTGGAAAGTATTTGCAGCATGAAGCCAGAGGTGAGTTACAGTTTTGCTAAAAGGAGCTGAAAGCAGTCGGTGTGAGGCGGTGTTTATAAAACGGCAGGTTTCGTCCACATTATTCCGCCGTGCTGCAGCTGTGAGCGCTCGATCGGCCGCCCAGAGTTACATAACGAGTCCTGAGTGTTTACAGAGGAGCTGCTGGACGTTCAGACTTCACAGCAGGATTAAAGTCACACAGAAACCAGCTGACTGTCGCTGAGCGCCTCCTTCAGACGCTAATGACATGATCAGATTAGCGTCATGTGTTTGAGTCGCAGCACATGCAGCAGAAGGTTACCACGAGACCGAGGATTTACCTCCGATCGGGCCGGACGGCTACCTGGAGGAGGCCTGGAGGAGTCCTGGAAAACACTGGAACTCCTCCCAGGGATCTGTACTGGGGCTGAAAGAGGTCTTAAGGTTCTTGAGACTGAGCTTTCAGTGGAACTTTACACACTGAAAAAGTTTAGACGCTGCAATTTACTGATGTTCCCGAAACACCTCACACGTGTCACAGACGCTGCAGTTTACCAGTGTCCCCTAAATGTCTCTTCTGCATCAGTAGATGTAATAATTTACTCGTGTTTCCTCCATATATGTCATAGAAGCTGCAGTTTACCAACATCCCCTAAACCCCTCACATGTACGGTAGGTGCTACAATTTACCAGCGTCCCCTAAATGTCTCTGGTGTATCAACAGGTACAAATTTTTTCCAAAAATTTGCCAGTGTCCCGTGAACGCGTCAGATGTAGCATAGACGCCACAATTTACCGATGTTCCTTAAAAGCCTCACGTCTCGTTGAAGTTGCGGTTTAGCGCTCAGACTCTCTTTAAGGGGTTCTCAGGGGTTCAGGGGAATCATCAGGTTTCATTGGTTCCTGATGAGTGTCAGAACTTCTTGAGACCCTTTGAAGTGCCACAGGGGTTTTAGAAGGTTCCAGGGTTCACGTGGGTCTAAATGGCTCTCGATGGGGTCTCTGAGGTCTTTAGAAAGGTTCCAGGAGTGCTTGAGACGAGGACTTTCAGAGACTATGGGTTCCTTTGGACTGTTCAGTCTTGAGTGGTTTACAAGAACATCCTAAATCTGAGGTGATTGAGGGAAATCGTCAGATTTCATTGGTTCCTGATGAGTTTCAGGAGGTCTAGAAGGAGTTTCAGTGGTTCAGGAGTCTTTGAAGTTGTGAGTGAAGGGATTTTAAAGGCCTTTGAAGTGACTCTGTGGGTTCCTCAGTGGGGTTTGATGATGATTTGACAGCAGTTTTAGGCGTTCTTGAGAGGGTCCTGTTTCTGTTTTTAAAGGTGTTTGTCAGACGTCACGGCGGTTTGTGGAGGTTTCAGGGTTCACAGGGTTTCTGAGATCTTTAAGGAGGTTTTATGGATTCTTTAGAGGGTTTAGTTGGTTCTATGAAGTGTCAAAAGTTCCTGGAAGGACCATAGGATTGTTGAGGTGGTTAATGGCTTCCTAAAGTGATCTTGATGGTTCAGGCATAATTTGAAGAGGCCTGGAGGTTAATCCCCAGGACCAGGGAATACTTCTTCAGGTGTCTGGATGTTCTTGGAGGAGTCTTTTCCTTTCATGACAGAGGATGGAGCTCTTTAAAAGTCAACCTGTACTTTGTGTTTGTTAAGCCGTGTTGTTGAAGGTTCC